GCTCCCCAAGCACCAAAAATTCTTCGGGCGGGGGCGAATCGCGCAGCAGCTCCCGGGGTGGAGGCGGGGAGTCACGTTCTTCAGGGGCCGCCTCCTCAGCTCCTGGCGGCGGGGACGGCGGGGAATATAAGACCCTGAAGATAAGTGAGTTGGGGTCTCAGCTGAGCGACGAAGCGGTGGAGGATGGACTGTTTCACGAGTTCAAACGCTTCGGTGATGTAAGTGTCAAAATCAGTCATCTCTCGGGTTCTGGCAGCGGGGATGAGCGGGTTGCCTTTGTGAACTTCCGGCGGCCAGAGGACGCGCGGGCGGCCAAGCATGCCAGAGGCCGCCTGGTGCTCTACGACCGGCCTTTGAAGATAGAAGCTGTGTATGTGAGCAGGCGCCGCAGCCGCTCTCCTTTAGACAAAGATGCTTATCCTCCATCAGCCAGCGTGGTCGGGTCCTCTGTAGGTGGTCACCGGCACCCCCCTGGAGGAGGTGGAGGCCAGAGATCACTTTCCCCTGGTGGCGCTGCTTTGGGATACAGAGACTACCGGTTGCAGCAGTTAGCTCTTGGCCGCCTGCCCCCTCCACCTCCACCACCGTTGCCCCGAGAACTGGAGAGAGAACGAGACTACCCTTTTTATGAGAGAGTGCGTCCAGCATACAGTCTTGAGCCGAGGGTGGGGGCTGGGGCAGGTGCTGCTCCTTTCAGAGAAGTGGATGAGATTTCACCCGAAGATGATCAGCGAGCTAATCGGACGCTTTTCTTGGGCAACCTAGACATCACTGTGACAGAGAGTGATTTAAGAAGGGCTTTTGATCGCTTTGGAGTCATTACAGAAGTAGACATCAAGAGGCCTTCTCGCGGTCAGACCAGTACCTATGGCTTTCTCAAATTTGAGAACCTAGATATGTCTCATCGGGCTAAACTAGCAATGTCTGGCAAAATTATAATTCGGAATCCCATTAAAATTGGTTATGGTAAAGCTACACCTACCACCCGCTTGTGGGTAGGTGGCCTGGGACCTTGGGTGCCTCTTGCTGCCCTGGCAAGAGAGTTTGATCGATTTGGTACTATACGTACCATAGACTACCGAAAAGGTGATAGTTGGGCATATATCCAGTATGAAAGCCTGGATGCAGCTCATGCTGCCTGGACCCACATGCGGGGCTTCCCACTTGGTGGCCCAGATCGTCGCCTTAGAGTGGATTTTGCAGACACAGAACATCGTTACCAGCAACAGTATCTACAGCCTCTGCCCTTGACTCATTATGAACTGGTGACAGATGCTTTTGGACATCGGGCGCCTGACCCTTTGAGGGGTGCTCGGGATAGGACACCACCCTTACTTTACAGAGATCGTGATAGGGACCTTTATTCTGACTCGGATTGGGTGCCACCCCCGCCCCCTGTCCGGGAACGCAGCACCCGAACTGCAGCTACTGCTTTGCCTGCCTATGAGCCACTGGATAGCCTGGATTGCAGGCGAGATGGCTGGTCCTTGGACCGGGATAGAGGTGATCGAGATTTGCCCAGCAGCAGAGACCAGCCTAGGAAACGAAGACTGCCTGATGAGAGTGGAGGACGGCACATGGACAGGTCCCCTGACAGTGACCGTCCAAGAAAACGTCACTGTGTTCCTTCTCCTGAACGCAGTCCAGAATTGAGCAGTAGCAGGGATCGTTACAACAGTGATAACGATCGATCTTCCCGTCTTCTTCTTTTGGAAAGGTCCTCTCCAATCAGAGACAGACGAGGTAGTTTGGAAAAGAGCCAGAGTGATAAGCGAGACCGTAAAAACTCTGCATCGGCTGAACGGGACAGGAAACACCGGACAACTGCTCCCACTGAGGGGAAAAGCCCTCTGAAAAAAGAAGACAGGCCTGATGGAAGTGCACCCAGCACCAGCACAACTTCTTCCAAGCTAAAGTCTCCTTCCCAGAAACAAGATGGGGGGACAGGCCCTACAACAGCAGCCTCTCCCAAACTCTGTTTGGCCTGGCAGGGCATGCTTCTGTTGAAAAACAGCAACTTTCCTTCCAACATGCATCTGTTGCAGGGTGACCTTCAAGTGGCTAGTAGTCTTCTTGTGGAGGGCTCAACTGGAGGCAAAGTGGCCCAGCTCAAGATCACTCAGCGTCTCCGTTTGGATCAGCCCAAGTTGGATGAAGTAACTCGACGCATCAAAGTGGCAGGCCCCAATGGTTATGCCATTCTTCTTGCTGTGCCTGGAAGTTCTGACAGCCGGTCTTCCTCTTCCTTGGCCACATCAGACACTGCCACCTCTACTCAGAGGCCACTCAGGAACCTTGTGTCCTATTTAAAGCAAAAGCAGGCAGCCGGAGTGATCAGCCTCCCTGTGGGGGGCAACAAAGACAAGGAAAACACCGGGGTCCTTCATGCCTTCCCACCCTGTGAGTTCTCCCAGCAGTTCCTGGATTCCCCTGCCAAGGCACTGGCCAAATCTGAAGAAGATTACCTGGTCATGATCATTGTCCGTGGTGCGTCCTAAAGTCCATGTGTAACTTGTATTTACTACTTTGACATGGTTCCTGTTTTGTAATGTGTAATGGGATACAGCATCAGATAGAATTTTCTTTTTAATTAGCTAGCTAGTTTTGTTGTAGCTTTTTCTTTTTTTTTTATATTTTTATAAACTTCTTTAAAATAGAAGTTGGGACTGTGTAGGTATTATTTTAAGTGAAAGGAATACACTGAAGGTAGCTGGCAGATTGATTTGCTTTAATTAGGAGTTCCTACCCTATGAGTAACTTCATTTTTTTAAGGTTTTTTCTTTTTTAACCTCTAGCTTAAAAATATTCCTCAAAGTTACAAAGCATAACTTTGGAGTCAGATTTTGGAGAATCCACTGACTGTAAAAGATAGTAATTTCCACTTAAAAAATGGCATGATTGATGTGTAGGTAAATAAGTCCTGTGCCAGAAATGTAATTTGACTAAAATTTGATCAGGAATCTTATACGCTGGTAAAATGTATAGCAGTGTAATTATCTTAATCAGGTATCTGGGTATTTTTCTTAAAATACACAGTTTTTCCCCAGAGAATTTGATTTAACTTCCATTTTTTATCGGTAGTTCTTGAGTTCTGTATCCCGTATATGCACTTTTGGTTTGTAGCTGTATCTGTTCATTAAAAATTGAGGACTATGTTACAAACCACATATGTCTTTTACATTAGAATGCAAGAAGTGAGTAGGTGCTTTAAAAATCAGAATACCTTGGTCAGTTACTGGTGTGTGGTGGTGTTTTTGCTGCCTTTTAAAAGAAGTGTAGCGGGTATAGTTCTAATTGTGCATATTTCAAAACTAAGTGTTCTTCATCAAAGATGAGTTTTTGTATCCATTCAGATTTCTGGTTTCAGTAATAGAAAGAAGAGTTGTCTGCAGGCTCATAAGTCATCTGTTCTTTCAGTGGGCATTAATGAGCCATATCTGGATTGCATAATTTTTTTAAGTTATCATAAAATGCCTTTGATGAGAGCTCTCTTAATGCTTTATTGGTATTTTTATTTTCATATTTAAACAGTACATTATTGGAAATATTTTGAATACCTTTGAAATTTTGTTTAATATTTTTTACTGCTGTCCAGCCACAGAGAATTGAAATGTCATTGTAGGAAAACCTTTTTATACTGTTTTATTTTTCCCCAGACACCTGGGATAAATACAAAATAATTTAACCCACCCCCACTTTTTTAATTTTTTAAAGCTTAGAATGACATTGTCTTGGTTCTTGAGGGCTTTTGCTGCTTAACAGTAATGAATGATTTCTTGTTTCGGTTTTTCATCTATTCCCCTGGTTTCTCAGGTCATTTAGTAAGTATGTTTTTCTCCCTCGTTTTAAATACTGAGGACTTTATCTAAAGGCCTTTGATATGATTAGAAACTTCTGGACCCTGGATCATAGTCATGTTTCTATTCTGTGAATGTGACTTATTCAAAGCCTTGCAGAACCCAACTGTTTTCTTTCTGTTATCAAAGCTGGTAGTTTTGAAATAGCACCAATAATAACCCAGGGAAATGTCATGTAATTTTTATTTTCCATTATGACAGGTGTCTAATGCATGTCAGCACGAAAGCCTCATCCACTGCTGCGTCATTCTTTTTGGTTCTCAATATGCATTTAGTTTTGTTTCTTTTTAAGTTTAGAAATTTTTCTTTTTTTTTTTTTTTAAACTGGAAAAACTCGCCATTTTTGAGAGAAAGAAAATACTAGACTAAGAGCACAAAAGCCTTGGTGTGCCTGTAGAGAAAATACCCGAGATGCTTCAATTAAGACTTGTAGTGCTTTTTGCTTTCAAAAAGCAGTGCTTGGCATGGAGTAGACACCTGTTCAGAAACCAGTTCACGTGTGGAATCTGCATACATGGGATCAAAGTACAGTATGTGGCTAGATACATTTTTCCAGTTTAAATAATCTCACTAACCATTAACTTTTGGATATCTTTGATAAGGTCATTGGACAAGTGATTATACTCTTTTGGAGAGTGAAGTCCATGACATCAAATTTCAGTATGATCCAAGATGTGTGTGGTTTCCCCCTCTTTTTTTTTTTAAGTTGGCGTGACAGAAGAGTACTGTGATTTTTTGCTCCATAGTTGTTTAAATCCTTACCTGACATTGCTGCTTTTGTTAAAATCTAAGCAATTTATGTTTCAATGTTTTGAAACAATGGCTTGATACCATTGCTTAAATGTATGTATTAGAAAAAAGAATTATGTGTAGTTTGGGCTTACCTACAGAGTGCCATTATTAAGATGAATTTTATTTGTGTTGCCCATTCTGTTGTGCAGATTTATAATATCTATCAACTTATCTACGTAAGCCTTCAGAATTTGAATGAAATCAAAGGTCTAAAACTGGTTCTAATTCTTATTAGCCAGAATTTCGTAAACTCAGCATTGAATGTTATTTGTAGCAACCAGTTTTTTTCTTTAATTAGTGCAGTTAATTTTTCTGGGACTCAGTTAAAATGAATGAAAAGAAAGTATTCTTCAACATATCATTTAATGACTAAGTATTACTTAATTGTCAAGATAATTAAGACGTTTAGATCACAGTTTCAAAGTTTACAGAGAAAACAATCAGCTCCTAGCCAATAATTCTAAATTCTTTGATATTATTTTGTTGATTGGTATTGGGATATCTTTAAAGAATTTTTCACAAGAAAATTTACATTTCTTGTTTAAGATAATGTGTACTTTAACTCTCAGCTGAGAATAGATAGTTTCCCTTTAAGGATTACATCTTAAGATGTCCATCCTATTGCTAGTATAAACGTCACATTTTGAACATGATGTACTTTGGCCCTTGACTTTAGATCATTTGAGTTACAGTAGTAAAAGGTTATTGGTTGTTACTTTCAGAGCTAGGCTTAGGTTTATTTTGAGACTTTAATGAGCATATTTTCACTGACAATATCTTTTTTGTTGTTGTTAAAAATTTAAATCCCTTTCTTTAAGGCAGTGAAATTGCTCAGTATGCAGGCACAGTTTGAACTGCATGTAGTCCCTACAGGAATCTTTCACCAAAAACTCTGGTAACAGAATGAAGAAATCCTCTTGAGAAGAGGGCCTTAATGACCTTTTATGTGAAAAAAAATTTGGAGAGAGTTTCTGGACTTTTTTTTCTGTCTCTGCCACAGTGTTTTAAGGTGGGAAGTAAATTTGAGAACAAGAAGGGAGGAGAGGTGGAGCTGACTCCATTAAAATTCTGGTTCTAGTGATGTCCCTAAAGGGACAAAACAATTTCAGGTAACCATAGTGAAATGTTAAGCTTAATGAAAAGTTTTATATATGTGATTTTAAGCAGAGTTGAAAAGTGAGAGTCCTGAAGTGTTCTTTGCCTGTTCCTATGAGTGTTTTCTTAAAATAATAGCTGCTGTCTTTGATAACACAGGAAGGTGGATTTTTAAATGGCTTTGTATCTTGACCCCTTTCTACAATTATGGAGTAGTCTTTGTTGCTCCATATAAATTACAGAATGAAAATGGGGTAAAAAATTTGACTAAACTTCACTTTTTTATAGTTTCACCCTTTAAGTTATATTTAGAATATATTGATAGATTATAAATTGATTGTAAACTTGCTTTTTCCCCCTGAAATTTTGACATGTTTTACTCATTACATGAGTATAAAGTATATTTTCAGCCCTATAATCCTCAATTGCAAAAAAAAAAAAAAACCTACCCTATTATTCTACTTGTTATTTGTCTATCCATATAGTAAATTCATTTCAAGGTTTGTGCCAGTGGGTATTATTGGTGCTTTATGAAGTTGAGGTGGACTAAACACAGGAAGGTCTTGTTACTATTCATCTTTAATGGCATAGGGGAAATATATATATTTTTAATATTGTAAACGTTTGTACTGAATAACCTTTTTTTCCCCCCTTGCAAGCAAAACTGGTGAACAGCGGATGAAGATATGGAATTCAAAGCTCTAATGGACCTTTTTGAAGAGAAGTGGCTTATGTGGAGTTTACATGGGCCTCTGATGGAAGAAAGCTAATCTGTTTAGTATTTGTGCATTTTACTAAAATGGCAGCTTAAAGTTGTGTATCTGCTATTGTGATGCCAATGCCGGTGTTTTAAGTGGAAAAAAAAAATGACCTCTTTGCTTTGTGCTGTGTACACAAGATTTCTGGAAAAGTAAAGAAAAACCCTTTTTATGGCTCACACAGCTTAAAAGTAGCTGTCACTCAAACGTGCGCTCACAGTTGAGCTGCTTTTGTTTTATTCTAAATAAATTGTTTCTTTTGAGGAAAATGTTTTTCTGCCTGGAAGTGAATTGACGGCAAACCTTTGACCCCTTTGTTTGCAGCTGAGGGGGTACTTGCTGCTGCTCAGATCGTGTGTGTCTTGAGCAAGAAGCAGGGAGACCATCAATTTCATTTTGACTATCACAGTGTGTCAATTCTGAAGGATCACTAGTGTTACTGTGACCCCCCTTTGTTTGCAGTGAAGGGGATCATTTGCTTCTCGGTCCTCAACGGTGATGAGGAAATGGTGCTGTTTGCTGGCACGCAAGAAGCCGGGGCAAGCACCCTAAACCTCACCACAATGCACGAGTCGGGGGCTTTGCTGGTTTGAAGAGCCGGAGTTGCTGAAATTTAAGTTTTGATTTATTTTGTTCACCCATCACGTTTGGCCTTAGTTTCATTTTTAATTTGAAGAAAAGTTTGAAATTGCTTTATCTTGTACTTAACATTTGCACCAAATTGCCAAAAGAAGGAGAAATGCTCCGTTTGCTTTTAAATGTTAATGATGTTAATAAAGCCTTTCCTGACACAATTGAGGAGCTCCTTCGTCTCCAGGGGCTTCTTACCAGAGTTATGCGTGATGGGTTTAGTTCTGAATGGATGAAGAGTTCCTGAGAGCTAGCGTTTGTAATTAGAACCGTTACTTGGTATCTGTGCCTTATTTGACCTGTGGTTCCACATGCCTTGGATGTGCATGCACCGTGACGGTTTCATAGGTACGAACGCACACTCAGGCCCTGTTACTTCGGTTGGTAGTACAGATGCATATGTGAGGAAAAAATGGAGGCATCCTTAAGGAGGAAAAAGTGTTTGCCTTTAGTTCCTGCATTGTCCTGTACAGGGGCTCTTGAGCTTTGGAAGCCTGTTCCCAGTACAGGAGCACAACTCCCCTGTTTGCAGCAGGAGACTTCGGTGCACAGTGACAACGCTGGAGTTCAAGAGGAAGCCAGCAATGCTGCACCATTGGCTTCAGACACCATTGTTGTTTGCCAGTTCTAAACTTAACTAGTTGCAGACGAAGACCACCTTGAAATGCAGGCTTGTTGGGCATGTTTTGAATTTTAACCTCGGATGGAAGAGCCCTAGTGCTGTCTGTCTCCATGCGGGATGATGATTGCTAGGCAACAGGTGATTGATTATCAACAATGGATGCCACGGTTATACTCTGCAAGGTGGTGTTCCAGTGGCAAACAGCTGTGTAAACTCTTGTAAACAGGTAAGAGGGTTTTTTAAGAGATCAAAAATGCATTATAATTAATAGGGTGAAGGCTTTTAATATTGTATGGGTATGTTTCTCTGTACGAAGATCTTTAGGCACTGTTTCCTAAAATGTCATATTTATAAAATTCTAAGCCAGAACTTTTGTTATACTTGATATTTTTATTTTAAAATTTAATATTTGAAAAAATCTTTGTAATGTGGGACCCAAAGTTTTAAAATCTTGGTTGTGGGTTTGGGACTTGTGGTCTTGATGTCCTTCGAAATTTTGATATTTTCTGTTAACCTTGTCTGTACTCTTTGTTGTAATTTAATGATGCAGGGTGACTGATGTACTGCTATAAAAATGTTGCTTGTTTACAAACACTGATCTATTAGAAATCGTAGTGTATATCAACAAAAGAATATACCATCAGATTGAGAATGACAGATATTTTAGCTGAAACAGTTAATTTTTTCCTTGTCCCACAAAGAGATTTTAAAATTAGGCAACTGCAGTTAGGGAAATGACTAGGCAGGAGTGTTGAACAAAGTCTGGCTTTTGTTTGCTCTTAACATTTTCATTGTCCATTTAGTTCTACCAGCTCTCTGAGCCTTCTAGTCTCCTTTACTAATCAAGTATGATGCTTTGGCAACTTATCACTAGCATAACTTTTTTTTTTGGAGAGGTTTTTGCTATAGAGTGTGTGCGCTCTCCAGAAAAACAGAGAGACAGACAGACAGAAAGTGAGAAATCACCCCTCATGGGGGCTGGCCACCCCGCAGTCCCTTCTCCATTCTCCTCTCAGGATCCTGGGCACGCACGCACACGTACCTGGTGTGAGTTTAAGCCACCGGGTCCAGGACTCGAGCTGCAGTCGACTACATGGGAGTTCAGTGACATAGCCATTACACGAACTGCTGCTCCCCTCACTAGCATAACTTCTTAAGAATATTGTACAGCTTAGGTTTCCTTAATTTTAAATGAGATCATAAAGTTTGAGTATAATTTTTCTTTTTCATCTGTTCCAGAAGACTTAGAATATCTAGTAACTAAAATATTATAGATGGTCTGTACTAGCCACTTTTTCCACAGGTTTGATTGAGCTCCTGGATTGTTTAGCTGGACAGCTTATGTATCCATACTTTGCAGTAAGAGGGAAAAAAGGAAGCACAGTGAGTTTTTTTCAGGGTCTCAGTGTCATTTAAAAGAAGGTTTTAAAACATCTGCTTATGAGATGGCTACCATTAAGGGCTTTGAAAGATGAGCTCATATTTCTTTAAACAATTAGTAAACAAATATTTTACAACACTGTTGAGATTTAGGAAAGATTATGGTTGTACTTTTTATATTTCTGCATGTTTGGTATCTTTCCAAGGTCTCAGGTTTCATCCTGAGTAAGAACAGGAGAAAAGTGTTGCAAACACAGTATTTGTTTATTTGTTAATAAAACCATATAGTACAAGCTAGGAAGGTACACAGCATGACATTTTATTTTTTAAACCACTCATGAAATTATTTAATTCCAGTTACATTGTAAAGAAAAAATTATTAACTGGGCTGAGTGTTAGCTCCAGGGTTCTGATTTATAAATTTGAAACTTTCCTTTTGAAGTATTTGATTTCTCAGGTCTTTCATATGATCTAAATTTAGGTTTCTGTAAAGATAAGTTTTTCAGAATTGATTTGGTCTATTTGAAAAGCTTGGTATTGAGTATTAAAATTGTTAATAGTGGTTACCCTGCCTTCAGTAACATAGTTGTGATTTTATAAATTTCCACTTCGGTAGTCTAAATCACATGCTTGTTTAGAAGTTGTTTATATGAGGCAGTAAATTTAATGCTTATTGCTAGTATAGCATCAATTTTCCTTTTTGTGGTAGTATATCTAATTATGACCACTTCGTCCATCTCCCACTCTAGTTGACTCTCTGAGCTTCCGTGTTTAAAAGATCCTTTTACTTAATAAAATTTTTTTTTTTGGAGAGGTTTTTGCTATAGGGCGTGTGCGCTCACCAGACAGACAGACAGAAAGTGAGAAATCACTCCCCAGGAGGGATGGCCACGCCGCAATCCCTTCTCCTCCATTTTCCTCTTGGGATCTTGGGCACGCATGCACACGTGCCGGTGTGAATTTTAAGCCACAGGGTCTGGGACGCGAACCACGGTCGACTACGTGGGAGTCCAGCGACATAGCCATTCCGCTAACTGCTGGTCCCTGGTGTAAAATTCTTAAAAATTTATTGATAGCAAAATTTCTTCAAATCTCAGATAAGATTGATCTTAACAACCAAGGAAAGATTTTGACTTTGAGATAAAATTTAACTTGTGTCAACCTGGGTGACTATAATGTTTAGTTTTCTGTTACAGTTTTCTGCAGTCACTTGAATGTTGGTTGTACTAAGAACTAAGGTGCTGAGAACTGGAGGAAAGTATTAAATAGTCTCTACCCACTTCTGCAACTCACCTTCTAATTGTACAAATGGGGAAAATTAAACAGTTTATGTCAAACTATAGGAAAGATGTCACAGGCCAATATTTGTTCATGGATTTTTATAAGTTATATGGCTATATTTATGAGTATATGGACAAGTTTCTTTGAACTTGGCTGGTCAAGAAAGGCTTTACAAAAGAATGTGTTGGAGGACATGGAAAGACATGGTGGAGAGATACTGGTATTGACATTCAGGCAGACAAATACGAGTAAGAATATAGCAGCTTATTTATTGATGGAAAAGATATGATCCAGACTGATCTTACTTGTAAACTAGTAAGATGGTTGGATCAACAAAAATAGGGACTACTGAAGGGCAAGCCAATTTGAAGTGTGGGTAGAGAGAGAGGATCAGCTAGCTTGGGCATACTTAACAGTAGTCATTTACTGACTGTCTGCTTCAGGGCAGGCGTTCTGACAAGTACTGTACACACATTGTCTCATTTAAGTCTTACCACAGACCATTATAAACTTGTTGGATGGCAGAGCCAGGGTTCTAACCAGGCCTTTGTCCCAGGTAGGGCCCTTTTGGTACTGCACTGTTAAACCTTACTACTTTTTTCTGGATACTAAGACTAGGATTAAAGTTGCAAATTTCTGAAATTGCCCAGGCAGTGGATTTTAAACTATAGTATATAAATGATTGCAGTATATACTTGGGAAACACGTAGGTCTTGCTCTAGCCACAGATATTGGGATTTGTGAAGACCAGTATGACCCAGGAGTCTTCATTCTTAAATAAGCTCCCTAAGGTAATTTTGATATATTCTGCAGTCAGTGAATCACATGTTGAGCAACATTGGCCCATAGACAGTTGGGTGCTGAGCAGTAGATTTGGAATAGTGTCATCTTTGATACATGCTAAGAGAAGATGGTGCTGGAAAAGAAGCCCAGATAGGAGAACAGTATTTGGTCTCAGAAGCTGAGAGGAAGAGCTTCCAGAAGATAAATTCAGAATTGTGGCAGCAGTCAAGAAGGAATCTCGTGCTGTGAATTTACCACTTAAAATTGTCATTTAAGTAATAGTTTTATAGTCATGTAACTATTTCTTCAAGGAATTCAGTCTAGCTTAGTAATTGATTTTGTCTCCTAATAATCTGTGAAGAAGGGCCACTGTTTAGTTTTTAAAAAGCTAAAGGGATACTGGAAAGTTTTCTGATTTGACTAAGGGTTACTCAGTAGCCAGAAACTGATTGAGATATCCCTGAGTTTTCGATGCTAATCTAAAAATAATGTGACTGTAGTGTACCTTGACATAGAAAACAGTTTTGGAATTGAATATGTCTATGTGTACACAGGAAATTTAAATTTTTTTTT